AAGCAGCGTGTCCAGGAGCCGTCGCCAGGGAGATCCCTCACAGATCTCCTTCGCCTCCTGGACTGGGTCAAGCCGAGTGAGGAGGAGAAGGGCTTGACACTATGGCAGAAGGGCGAGAGGCTGGCGAGGGATATGGAGACCTGGTCCACGGGTAGGAGAGACGCCCCGAAAATTTTTAGGGGGGGGCTCACGACGTCGGACCAGCAGGAGGCCGCGATAGAGCGGCCCAGTGGGTTGCTGGAGAAGGCCGCCGGGTTACGGGGGCCACTGGTCGAAGAGGGGATGGAGGAAGTAGAGGCACGGCGAGAGGTACTGGCGTGTGTTGCCAGTCCGGTCCGGCCCGTTCCAGATCCCGGTGTAGGACCAGTGGTGTGTGTCCCCAGTACAGTCCGGCCCATCCAAGCTTCCCGCACCAAGCCAGTGGTGTGGCGTCTCGTCAGCCCGGCTCTGCCCGTTCCTGCTCTCCGCACCAGGTCTGTGGTGCACGTCACCAGCCCAGTCCGGCCCATTCCTGCTACTCGCAACAAGCCAAGGGTGCGAGTCGTCAGCCGGATTCAGCCCATTCCTGCTACTCGCACCAAGCCAAGGGTGCGAGTCGTCAGCCGGATTCAGCCCATTCCTGCTACTCGCACCAAGCCAAGGGTGCGAGTCGTCAGCCGGATTCAGCCCATTCCTGCTACTCGCACCAAGCCAAGGGTGCGAGTCGTCAGCCGGATTCAGCCCATTCCTGCTACTCGCACCAAGCCAGGGATGCGAGTCTTCAGCCTGGTGAGGCCTGTTCCGGCTCCACGCACCATGCAAAGGGTGCGTATCGTCTGCCAGGTCCGGTCCATTCCTGCCTCACGCGCCAAGCCAGGGGTGCGCGTCGGCAGTCCTGATCCAGCTAACTGGGTCAGATCGGACTGGGGACACTGCGGGGGGATTGTAGTAGGGTGGTGGTCAAGCCCGGAGCCGGAGCCGCCTCCGAGGAGCAATACCCACCCAGCCCTTCCCTATTTGGGGTGTAGGCGCGGTCGGAGTCCGCGCCTTTAGGGGGGGGTACTGTCACGCTCTGGCTCCGGGACTGTGTATTTTGAGCCAGGGTGTGTTCATTTGGTTGTGTTGTATTTGGTTGTGTTTCATTGTTTGGTCGTGTGACTCCCAATCAGTGGTAACGAGTGTCAGCTGTCGGCTCGTTATCTCTGATTTGGAGACATATTTAAACTGTCAGTGTTCACCTTAGTGTTGTGGGTTTTTGTTCCTTGTCAGTCATTGTAACGGAGGACTTCACGTTTCGTCATTGTTTGTTGTTTAGGCTTTAATTTAATAAAGTCATGTTCACCTTCAACGCTGCGCATTGGTCCTCCTCATTAGACGATCGTGACAAAACAAATCAAAATATATTTTATATTTGAGATTCAAATAGACACCTTTTGCCTTGATGACAGCTTTGCACACTCTTGTCATTCTCTCAACCAGCTTCACCTGGAATGCTTTTCCACCAGTCTTGAAGGAGTTCCCACATATGCTGAGCACTTGTTGGTTGCTTTTCCTTCACTCTGCGGTCCGACTCATCCCAAACCATCTCAATTGGGTTGAGGTCGGGGGATTGTAGAGGCCAGGTCATCTGATGCAGCACTCCATCACTCTCCTTCATGGTACAATAGCCCTTACACAGCCTGGAGGTGTGTTGGGTCATTGTCCTGTTGAAAAACAAATGATAGTCCCACTAAGCCCAAACCAGATGGGATGGCGTATCGCTGCAGAATGCTGTGGTAGCCATGCTGATTAAGTGTGCCTTGAATTCTAAATAAATCACAGACAGTGTCACCAGCAAAGCACCCCCACACGATAACACCTCCTCCTCCATGATTTACTGTGGGAAATACACATGCGGAGATCATCCGTTCACCCACACCGCGTCTCACAAAGACACAGCGGTTGGAACCAAAAATCTCCAATTTGGACTCCAGACAAATTTCCACTGGTCTAATGTCCATTGCTCATGTTTCTTGGCCCAAGCAAGTCTCTTCTTATTATTGGTGTCCTTTAGTAGTGGTTTCTTTGCAGCAATTCGACCATGAAGGCCTGATTCACACAGTCTCCTCTGAACAGTTGATGTTGAGATGTGTATGTTACCTGAACTCTGTGAAGCATTTATTTGGGCGGCAATTTCTGAGGCTGGTAACATTTACATTTACATTTACGTCATTTAGCAGACGCTCTTATCCAGAGCGACTTACAAATTGGTGCATTCACCTTATAGCCAGTGGGATAACCACTTTACAAAAACACATTTTTTGATTTTTTTGGTGGGGTGGGGTAAGGGGGGGGGTTAGAAGGATTACTTTATCCTATCCCAGGTGTTCCTTAAAGAGGTGGGGTTTCAAATGTCTCCGGAAGGTGGTGAGTGACTCCGCTGTCCTGGCGTCGTGAGGGAGCTTGTTCCACCATTGGGGTGCCAGAGCAGCGAACAGTTTTGACTGGGCTGAGCGGGAACTGTGCTTCAGCAGAGGTAGGGGAGCCAGCAGGCCAGAGGTGGATGAACGCAATGCCCTCGTTTGGGTGTAGGGACTGATCAGAGCCTGAAGGTACGGAGGTGCCGTTCCCCTCACAGCTCCGTAGGCAAGCACCATGGTCTTGTAGCAGATGCAAGCTTCAACTGGAAGCCAGTGTAGTGTGCGGAGGAGCGGGGTGATGTGAGAGAACATGGGAAGGTTGAACACCAGACGGGCTGCGGCATTCTGGATGAGTTGTAGGGGTTTAATGGCACAGGCAGGGAGCCCAGCCAACAGCGAGTTGCAGTAATCCAGACGGGAGATGACAAGTGCCTGGATTAGGACCTGTGCCGCTTCCTGTGTAAGGCAGTGTCGTACTCTCCGAATGTTGTAGAGCATGAACCTACAGGATCGGGTCACCGCCTTGATGTTAGCGGAGAACGACAGGGTGTTGTCCAGGGTCACGCCAAGGCTCTTCGCACTCTGGTAACTGTAATGAACTTATCCTCTGCAGCAGAGGTAACTCTGGGTCTTCTATTCCTGTGGCGGTCCTCATGAGAGCCAGTTTCATCATAGCGCTTGATGGTTTTTGCAACTGCACTTGAAGAAACGTTCAAAGTTCTTGAAATGTTCGGTATTGACTGACCTTCATGTCTTAAAGTAATTATGGACTGTCGTTTCTCTTTGCTTATTTGAGCTGTTCTTTCCATAATATGGACTTGGTCTTTTACCAAATAGGGCTATCTTCTGTATACCACCCCTACCTTGTCACAGCACAACTGATTGGCTCAAACGCATTAAGAAGGAAAGAAATTCCACAAATTAACTTTTAACAAAGCACACCTGTTAATTGAAATGCATTCCAGGTGACTACCTCATGAAGCTGGTTGAGAGTATGCCAAGAGTGTGCAAGGCTGTCATCAAGGCAAAGGGTGGCTGTTTGAAGAATCTCAAATATAAAATATGATTTGATTTGTTTAACACTATTTTGATTACTACATGATTCCATATGTGTTATTTCATAGTTTTGATGTCTTCACTATTATTCTACAATGTAAAAAATAGTTAAAAATAAAGAAAAACCCTTGAATGAGTAGGTGTGTCCAAACCTTTGACTTGTACTGTACATGGGTTACCAGTACCCAGTCGATGTGCAGGGGTACGAGGTAATTGAGGTAGATATGTACATATAACTAGAAATAAAGTTACTAGGTAACAGTATAGATAATTAACAGTAGCAGCAGCATATGTGATGAGTCATAAAAAGTTAGAGCAAAAAGGGTCAATGCAAGTAGTCCGGGTGGCTATTTTGATAACTATTTAGCAGTCCTATGGCTTGGGGGTAGAAGCTGTTCAGGTTCCTGTTGGTTCCGGTACCGCTTGCCGTGCGATAGCAGAGAGAACAGTCTATTACTCGGGTGGCTGGAGTCTTTGACAATTTTTAGGGCCTTCCTCTGGCACTGCCTGGTATAGAGGTCCTGGATGGCAGGGAGCTCGGCCCCAGTGATGTACTTGGCCATACGCATGACCCTCTGTAGCGCCTTGCGGTCAAATGCCAATAAGTTGCCATACCAAGCGGTGATGCAGCCAGTCAAGATGCTCTCAATGGTGCAGCTGTAGAACTTCTTGAGGATCTGAGGGCCAATGCCAAATCTTTTCAGCCTCCTGAGGGGAAGAGGCGTTGTCGTGCCCTCTTCACGACTGTGTTGGTGTGTGTGGACCATGATGGATCCTTAGTGATGTGGACACCGAGGAACTTGAAGCTCTCGACCCGCTCCACTACAGCCCCGTCGATGTGATTGGAGGTGTGCTCGGCCCTCTGTTTCCTGTAGTCCACGATCAGCTCCTTTGTCTTGCCAACGTTGTGGAAGAGGTTGTTGTCTCTGACCTCCTCTCTATAGGCTGCCTCATCGTTGTCGGTGATCAGGCCTACCACCGTCATGTCGTCAGCAAACTTAATGATGGTGTTGGAGTCGTACGTGGCCACGCAGTCGTGTGTGAACAGGGAGTACAGGAGGGGACTAAGCACGCACCACAAACCATTTAGGCATCCCCCACCCATGGTCATGTGCCTCTGCTTGTCCAGTAACATTGTCCTGGGGTGGGTTGGTTAATCCTGAATGGGATTTTGTAGTTGATTTCAATATTACATCTCCATATTGCCATTACTGTGTGCGTACTTGCATGTCTATCCTAGATAATACAGACTCCTCCATGCCTGCATCAGAGGAATGAGACAACCCATTATCACAGTGTGAAGCAGTAATCACACCACTATGGGCTGGGCTTGGCACTGTGACACACTCACACACACACACACACACACACACAGTCTCACTTTCTGACTTCACTGCTAATGGGTATAGAAATGGACCAGAAAAAATTTCCCGCTGTTTCCTGTCAGGTTTATTTCAACATTAACCAGACTCACCATGTGCAGAATGCTGATGAGATATGAGATGTATGACTAACATAAGTGTAGTTTATATTTTTAACTTATTTTTCAGTCGACAGTACACTATTATGTGGTTTAAGGCAGGATATATTATTGATGTTGCTTAGCTTGTTTGAGAAATTATAGCAACTTGCTTGAAAATCATTATTTTTATACATTTATCCCCAACATTGCTTCGGTCGTTAGGAGTTGCAGTGTCTTCTGTAGTCTCATCTCAACATGTTTTCTCTTCCTGTTTTGCTGTAGGACTTCCTGACAGACCTGATGATGTCAGAGGTGGACCGGTGTGGGGAGAATGAGCACCTGATCTTCAGAGAGAACACGCTGGCCACCAAGGCTATAGAGGAGTACCTCAAACTGGTGGGGCAGAAGTACCTGCAGGACGCACTTGGTGAGTCTATCTATCTGTCTGTCTGTCTGTCTGTCTGTCTGTCTGTCTGTCTGTCTGTCTGTCTGTCTGTCTGTCTGTCTGTCTGTCTGTCTGTCTGTCTGTCTGTCTGTCTGTCTGTCTGTCTGTCTGTCTGTCTGTCTGTCTGCCTGTCTGCCTGCCTGTCTGCCTGTCTGCCTGTCTGTCTGTCTGCCTGTCTGCCTGTCTATCTGTCTGTCTGTCTGCCTGCCTGCCTGCCTGCCTGCCTGCCTGCCTGCCTGCCTGCCTGCCTGCCTGCCTGTCTGTCTGTCTGTCTGTCTGCCTGTTTGTCTGCCTGTCTATCTGTCTGCCTGTCTGCCTGTCTGCCTGTCTTTATTCTCCAGCCTTTATGTGTCTTGGGCTATAGGAGAGGATAGATAAAGCAATTGGTGAGTGTAGTTAGAGGAGATGTGATAGGATCTGCTGTACTGTAGGGGAGGAGATATGGTAGAGATGGTATTTGTATTCAGGGCTGTAGAGATGACTGCTCCAGCATGTGATATTTTCCTCCAGCACAGCCCACTCTGGAAGATGGTGAGAAAAAATACAATAAATACTGTTTATCTCTTACGCCTGGTTTGAAGTCTTCACACTGACTGGCCTCTCTGTAGACTCTTCTTTCTCAATTCAATTCAATTCAATTCAAAGGGCTTTATTGGCATGGGAAACATATGTTTACATTGCCAAAGCAAATGGAATAGGCAATAAACAAAAGGGAAATAAACAAGGGAAACATTAGTAAACATTACTCTCTCTCTCTCTTTCTTTATCTGTCTTTCTGTCTCTCAGCCCTCTTTTTCCACTCTGTCCATCCACCCATCCTCTTTTTCCACTCTCTCTCCATCCATCCATGCTTAATACAGAGACATGTGTTATCGTAAGCAATCAAAACTTGTTCTGTGTCATTAGGCCATGGTTACTGAGCTGTAGTAAAGATCAGAGGTCATTGAGCTGTAGTGGAGGTCAAAGGGCAGAGAAGGCCTCAGGACTGGTAGACACAACATTCCTAGCCCCTGACCCCAGAGACTGGACATGGTGTGTATACAGAACTAAGGGACTGCTCTCTCTTGTGTACTCAGGCCACCCGAATAACCCAAGAGAGAGAAGCGAGAGAGAGAGAGGGACCAGAGAGGAGAGAGCGATGAGAGAGCTCGAGAGCTCGAGAGATGAGAGAGCGGGAGAGAGAAGAGAGAGAGGAGAGAGAGAGAGGAGAGAGGAGAGGAGAGCGAGGTAGAGAGAGAGAGAGAGAGAGAGAGAGAGAGAGAGATCGCTCTAGAGAGAGCGAGAGAAGCGGGATAGATAGAGAGCTCAAAGATCGCTCGCTATCTCTCTCTCTCCTCTCCTCTCTCTCTGCTCTCTCTATCTCTCTCTCTGCTCTCTCTCTCTCTCTACCACAAGGTAAGACCAAGGTTAGTCCAGTATTTTGTTAGTGTTGGCTGTGGTCCTGGCTATAAGCCTGGTGCATGTTGATGTATTTACCTCATTCAGCCTGATTTAGAAAAGTACACAGCAGCAGTTTTATCTACAGAAAAGCACACATCCTCCCTGCAAATTGTCTCTCTATTTCCCACTCCCTCCATCTCTCTCTCTCCATCTCTCTCTTTCCCCTCCCACTCTCATTTCTCTCTCTGTGCATAGATCTAATATCTGTGCAGCAATGTTTTGTGTGTGTGTATGTGTGTATGTGTCTGTCTCTCAGGGTTGAGTTAAGAATATATTGGAGCCTTAGTGAATAATGCATGTGTGTTTTTCTTGGAGTTAATGTGCTTTGAAGCCTGGGTGAATAATAGAACGCCTCGTCGCTGCCGAAGATTGACTGATTCCGGTCTGGTCTGCCATGAAGGGGCGACACAAGGACGACCAGGAGGAGAGAGAAGGAGAGGGAGAGGGAGAGGGAGAGGGAGAGGGGGAGAGGGAGGGAGAGAGAGAGAGAGAGGAGAGAGGAGAGAGAGAGAGAGGAGAGAGAGGAGAGAGAGAGAAGAGAGAGAGAGAGAGAGAGAGAGAGAGAGAGAGAGAGAGAGAGAGAGAAGCACTTTTCCTTTCTGATCATCTCAATGACAAACAGTACAGGGGAAATGATTAGGCCTTATCACTGTCAAACTAAGGATAAGATATTATTTCTATAGTCTTAACATGGACAGGTAGAGCAGCAAGTCAGACATCCTCTCATCCCCTCTCGCTCTCTCTCATCTCTCATCTCTCTTTCCCTCTCTCTCATCTCTCACCTCTCACTCTCTCTTCACATCGGAAGGACAAAGTTGACAGGAAGAGGGGAAGGGTTTGTGGAATATTGATGGAGCGTTGTTCTAACGTTGTTTATGTTGTCGTTATATCGTCTGGTGCATTGACTGAGATGGAGAACATGAACATCAGTCATCAGTCATGGTGTGTTACCTGGGATGACCCTAGTCCCTATGGTTGGTTGACTTATTGTTGTCATAGGATAGTTGGTGATGGTCTGAAGTTGATGTCTTGCTTATGGAATGCTGTTATGGTGTGATGTCTTGAATGGAGACACAGTCATTCATTCAGTGTTTCAGTCTCACTTTAATTAAAAGGCCGGACATCATTGTCCTTCTATCGCAGAGGTCCTTGAGGGACAACAGCAAAGAGAGCCTCCTAGTGGACAATTATTATAACTACCTCCAGCAACAAACTCATTCACCTTTGGTTCTCTCATCGGCTAATAATGATAATGACGCTGTACTGTTTGCTTTTAACTCTTGTGTGTGTCTATGTGTGTGTGTGTGTGATGTGTGTGTGTGTTGGTTCTTCTATCCTTGTGTGGACCAAATATCCCCAAAAGTCCCCACAAGTATAGTAAAACAAGGAAAATGTCCCACATCCCCATGAGGACAAAGGCTATTTTAGGCTTAGGTTTAGGGTTAGGGTTAGAATTAGGTTTAGGTTTAGGGTTAGAATTAAGGTAAGGGTAAGGGGTCAGTGGTTAGGTTTAGGGTTAGGAGGTAGGTTCCGGGTTAGGGGTTAGCGTTAGGGTTAGGGTAAGGGTTAAGGTTTAGGGTTAGGGAAAATAGGATTTTGAATGGAAATAAATGTTAGGTCCCCATTAGGATAGATTAACAAAACGTGTGTGTGTGTTGTAGGTGAGTTGACTGAATGTTAGTGTCTGTCTGTGTCTCTCTCCCTGTGTTGTAGGTGAGTTGATTGAATGTTAGTGTCTGTCTCTCTCTCCCTGTGTTGTAGGTGAGTTGACTGAATGTTAGTGTCTGTCTGTCTCTCTCTCCCTGTGTTGTAGGTGAGTTGACTGTAGTGTCTGTCTGTCTCTCTCTCCCTGTGTTGTAGGTGAGTTGACTGAATGTTAGTGTCTGTCTGTCTCTCTCTCCCTGTGTTGTAGGTGAGTTGACTGAATGTTAGTGTCTGTCTGTCTCTCTCCCTGTGTTGTAGGTGAGTTGACTGAATGTTAGTGTCTGTCTGTCTCTCTCTCCCTGTGTTGTAGGTGAGTTGACTGAATGTTAGTGTCTGTCTGTCTCTCTCTCCCTGTGTTGTAGGTGAGTTGACTGAATGTTAGTGTCTGTCTGTCTCTCTCTCCCTGTGTTGTAGGTGAGTTGACTGAATGTTAGTGTCTGTCTGTGTCTCTCTCTCCCTGTGTTGTAGGTGAGTTGACTGAGTGTTAGTGTCTGTCTGTGTCTCTCTCTCACTGTGTTGTAGGTGAGTTGACTGAATGTCAGTGTCTGACTGTGTCGCTCTCTCCCTGTGTTATAGGTGAGTTTATCAAGGCGTTGTATGAGTCAGATGAGAACTGTGAGGTGGACCCGTCCAAGTGTTCATCCAATGACCTGCAGGAGCATCAGAGCAACCTGAAGATGTGCTGTGAGCTGGCCTTCTGCAAGATCATCAACTCTTACTGGTAAATTCTGGGACACCACACACAATGCATTACCAAAAATATATGTTTTTACCATGTGTTGTTAAATTCATACCATAGTTATATGGCCATTGGTGAACATTCCGCCAATGCTTTCAACGCTTACTGTTAGCTGTTCTATAGTTACTATGCATGACTTAAATTCAACTGTTCAAACAGCAACAAAGTATAGCTCTCTGTAGCTCTCTGTAGTATGAGAGTGAAAATAAATAGGTGTGCGGAAAAAAATAGGTGTGTGGAAAGTGTACCTACATATTGCCGTTAACACCTCTTCTCCCTCCCTCTGCAGTGTGTTTCCACGGGAACTCAAGGAGGTGTTTGCATCGTGGCGACAGGAGTGCAGTAGCCGGGGGCGACCGGACATCAGCGAGCGTCTGATCAGCGCGTCTCTGTTCCTGCGTTTCCTGTGTCCAGCCATCATGTCGCCGTCTCTCTTCAACCTGATGCAGGAGTACCCTGATGACCGCACCGCACGCACACTCACACTCATCGCCAAGGTCACGCAGAACCTGGCCAACTTCGCCAAGTGAGTGTGTGTTTATGGAGTGTGTGAATTGGTGTTGAGTGTGTGTGTGTGTCTGTGTGTGTGTGTGTGTGTGTGTGTCTGTGTGCTGTGTGTGTGTGTGTGTGTGTGTGTGTGTGTGTGTGTGCGTGTGTGCGTGCGTGCGTGCCTGTGCATTTGAGAGAGAGTATGTGTGTTCTATATACTCAGCGTATCTCTCTCCCACCCTCCCCTCCATCTCTCTGTCCCAGGTTTGGCAGTAAGGAGGAGTACATGTCCTTTATGAACCAGTTCCTGGAGCATGAGTGGACCAACATGCAGCGCTTCCTGCTGGAGATCTCTAACCCAGAGACCATCTCTAACACAGCAGGGTTCGAAGGTTACATAGACCTGGGACGGGAGCTGTCCACCCTGCACAACCTGCTGTCAGAGGTCGTCTCTACCATGGAACAGGTAGGGCTGACCAGGCATAGTAGTCATCACATGAAATATACAGTATACTGTATAGGGACAGGAGTTTTTCCAAGACTCCAGGTCCCGAGTTTTTTTATAGGAGTTTTTCCTGACTTTGTTACTGTCACGATCGTTGAACAGAGTAGACCAAGGCGCAGCGTTGAAGGCAAACATACTTTATTTACCAAAGTGATAACACGAACAAAACAATAAACGATGACGTGACGTCCTAGGTTAAACAACCAACACAGAACAAACCAAAAAGGAACAAGATCCCACAAAACACTGTGGAAAACAGCCTGTCTAAATATGGTTCCCAATCAGAGACAACCAGCAACAGCTGATACTCGTTGCCTCTGATTGAGAACCACACTGGCCAACATAGAAACACAATACTAGAAATACGACATAGAACAAAAACACATAGACTCTACACACCCTGGCTCAACATATTAGAGTCCCCAGAGCCAGGGTGTGACAGTACCCCCCCCCAAAGGCGCGGACTGCGACCGCGCCTAAACATAACCGAACAGGGGAGGGCTGGGTGGGCATTCCTCCTCGGAGGCGGTTCCGGCTCCGGGCATGACCACCACCCTCCAACAATCCCCCCGTAGCGCCCCTGTTCCGGTCTGGCCCCGCTGGCTGGAGTTGGACTGGACATCGGTGGAGCGGATTGCTTGGGCTCCGATGTGGAGCTGCTGACCAGGTACCGGTGACCCAGGCACGGGTTGTGCCGGACTGACGACGCACACCACAGGCTTGGTGCGTGGAGCAGGAACGGACCGGACCGGGCTGACGACACGCACCCCTGGCTTTGTGCGTGGAGCAGGAACGGGCCGGACCGGGCTGACGACGCGCACCCCTGGCTTGGTGCGTGAAGCAGGAACGGGCCGGACCGGGCTGGCGACGCGCACCCCTGGCTTGGTGCGTGGAGCAGGAACGGGCCGGACCGGGCTGGCGACGCGCACCCCTGGCTTGGTGCGAGGGACAGGAACAGGCCGGACCGTACTGGGAACACACACCACTGGCCTTAAACGGGGATCAGGAACGGGCCGGACCGGACTGGCAATACACCTCAGTACCTCTCGCCGTGCCTCTACATCTTCCTTCCCTTTTCTTACCAATGGCTCCCGTAACCCGGTGGCCTTCTCACCTCGTCCACGAACTCGCCCCTTCTCTGCCTCCAGCAGCCCCGTCGTCCATGCCATGTGCCCCCTCCTAAAAATGTTTTGGGGGTGCCTCTCACCTGTCCGACCACGGCCCGGTTGGCGCCGCTTCTCCTCTCCTGCCTGGGTCTCCCCCTTCATAGCCCTCCGGCAACGGACGGCCTCCTCCTCCATAATCTGCCCCCAACCGAGGAGGACATCTACTAATGTTACCTCCTGCGGGTGCTCCTGGACACGCTGCTTGGTCCTGGTGTGGTGGGATCTTCTGTCACGATCGTTGAACGGAGTAGACCAAGGCGCAGCGTTGAAGGCAAACATACTTTATTTACAAAGTGATAACACGAACAAAACAATAAACGATGACGTGACGTCCTAGGTTAAACAACCAACACGGAACAAACCAAAAAGGAACAAGATCCCACAAAACACTGTGGAAAACAGCCTGTCTAAATATGGTTCCCAATCAGAGACAACCAGCAACAGCTGATACTCGTTGCCTCTGATTGAGAACCACACTGGCCAACATAGAAACACAATACTAGAAATACGACATAGAACAAAAACACATAGACTCTACACACCCTGGCTCAACATATTAGAGTCCCCAGAGCCAGGGTGTGACAGTTACCTGATTAGGAAAAACTGCAGGTCCCTAGTTGTATCCTATATAACGAGCCTGGAGTTTACCCCTGGTCAGGTCATGTAGTCAGGAAAAACCCCTGGCCATAACTAAATACATAATACTATTCTCTGTGTTAGCACTGCCCTTCTGCATTTAGTAATGTACTGCGTGCAGTAGCATGTTAACCTAACTCGATTCAATAATGTGTACAGCACGCTATTGCTTACATAATACAACTACTGCTGTGAGACTGAGTGCTCTATTGGAATGCTATGAGGAGGGCCTGGGAGGACATAGATATAAAACACTATGAATATGTGGGAGGCATCCACATGGATTTGCAGGGACACCTAGTGCATTAGCCATGGTTCCGCATGGAGAGCCATCCCAGCGCGTTAATTAGTAGGTATATTGGGGGCAAAGCCCATAGACTCCATGTGCGTGTGTGTTGCATCCCATCCTCACTGAGGACAGCACTGTCCTTTCAGTTATTAAAAAACTATTGTCCGTCTCCAACCAAAATCAAGTCCTTCCAGGCTCTGAGGCCGGCCTGTTTCATTATTCAGACTGAAGGACAGAATCAGAGGGAGATTAGCTCTCTGTAATGGGGAAAATAATACCCCATCCAGGCTAACTGTCTGATACAGGCACAGGGAGGTCTCTACTGATATCCAAGGTTTAAGTCAGTGCATGTAATAGTTGTAAAATTGCCACATGGATGCTTAATAATAATAATAATAATAATAATAATAATAATAATAATATGTCATTTAGCAGACGCTTTTATCCAAAGCGACTTACAGTCATGTGTGCATACATTTTTTTTTTTGTGTATGCTTAAATGGCTTCAAACAGTAGAGTAGAAAACTGTGAAGGATGCCAAGAATACAAAGCCTAACAGTGAACCTTACTGGGAGGAAGTTTGCCCCAGACATTGATCTAAGGCCAGTCTTGCAACGCCCATACTGCCCCGCCCTAATGAGTTATTAGGATTGGAAAAGATTCAAGCTGATCCTAGACCTATGTCCAAAGGCCTCAACTTCTACACAGAGCTACCATGACCCCTGACCCCATCTCTGACCTTGAACCCCTCTTTAACCCTCAGAGCTCCACCTCCAAGCTGGGCCCCCTACCCAGGATCCTCCGGGAGGTGAACACAGCGCTGACCAACCCGTCCAGCATGAACATGACCGCTCCGTCCTCCTCTGACCGTATGGGGTCACCGCCCAATGCCGGGGCAGGCTGCAGCATCTCCACCGGCCTGCAGAAGATGGTCATCGACAATGACCTTTCAGGGTAAGGACAGGGTTTGCGATAAAAGAAAAGGGATGAGTTTGGTGTAAGGGTTAGGAAGAACAAGAACAGGTAAGGCTAGGGGTATGGGTAAGGACAGGTTTGGGATAGGTTAAGGCAGTAAGGATAGGGTACATTTTAGGAAGAACAAGAACAGGTAAGGCTTGGGGTATGGATAAGGACAGGGTAAGGGTTAGGAAGAACAAAAAGAAACGGGTATAGATATAGGTACGGATGGTTAAGGTGGTTTTCTCGTTTGGGCAAAAGTCTGTCCTCCATCCTCTCTCCTCCGTCCTGTCTCCTCTGTGACCCAGAAACTGATAAGTGGTCGAGTGGTCAGTTCGTTAGTAGGCAAACGGAAGACGGTCCTCCCCTCCTCGATAGCCTCCTTTTGGCGAGGAAGCACATGTGTTTTGATATCTGCCACTCCCCCTTTGAATCAGCTTTTTATTGTCGGAGGAGTAAACCATGCACACGTTTCAAAAAACCATATGGTACTTATCATTTTATCTATAAAATGTCTTGCACAACTAATTCAATTTTTTTGGGATCACTTTACACATTTAATTTGGGATCCATTTCTGTAAACGCCATTAGCCTGATGACGCGTGAGTGGAGAAGGAGGGCCTCATTTCATACAACACATTTTCATCCACGTTCCCTCTCCTCCATTACCTTTGACCTTTTTCAAAAGTAGGTGAGAGAGGACGGAGGAGAGAGGATGCAGGAGTTTAGCAAATCCAATTCAGAAAAGGCCAAGGTTTTCTCTTCAAACTTAACGTTAGCTAAAATGTATCTAGACTGATAATGAAAGCTAATCTCTTGTAAGTGAATATCTTTGTTATATTAGGTGAGTGTGTGAGAGATTAATGTCATTGTTGTCTATTGTGTTCACCAGTAGTCCCGGATCAATAGGGATAATTAGCCACTGTCTGTCACCCATTCACCCTGGCTCCCCAGCCCCTGACGGCCCCACTTTATCAGGCCACGCTAATGTGTGTCAACCTAGAAACAGCCACTTTCCTGTCCCCTCCTTCCCCTTCTTATCAGGCTGCCAGTGAACCTGCAACCCCAGTCAGATTTATGGAGGCTGGAGTGAACGAGTCTAGCGTTCTAGTAGTCCTTCTTAATTACACCCCATTCACAGAGAGAGGGAGAGAGAGGGAGGGGGAGAGAGAGAGAGAGAAAGGGAGGGAGGGAGGGAGGGAGGGAGGGAGGGAGGGAGGGAGGGAGGGAGGGAGGGAGGGAGGGAGGGAGGGAGGGAGGGAGCAGAGTAGGTACAAAATAGAGAGGTTTAGAGAGAGAGTATTAACGAAAGAGAGACAGCGGGAGGAGAGGAGGAGAGAGGGAGGAAAGAGAGGAGAGAGAGAGAGAGAGAGAGAGAGAGAGAGAGAGAGAGAGAGAGAGAGAGATTATGGGAACATAAATTGTGTCTGTCAAGGTAATTGCCAGACAATAAAGCTCTAGACTTGGTGGTGGAAGAGAGGGGAGGAGGAGAGGAGGGAGGATGAGTGCGGATCACTTAACTAGATGTATGACTCACATCCTCATCTGCTGATGGACTGCTGTTTTTATACCATATGTCCCCTGGGGTTGCTGTTGTTATACCATATGTCCCATTGGGTTGCTGTTTTTATACCATATGTCCCCTGGGGTTGCTGTTGTTTTACCATATGTCCCATTGGGTTGCTGTTTTTATACCATGTGTACCATGTACCATGTGTTCTGTTGGGTTGCTGTTTCTATACCATGTGTCCTGTTGGGCTGCTGTTTCTGTACCATGTGTCCTGTTGGGTTGCTGTTTCTATACCATGTGTCCTGTTGGGTTGCTGTTTCGTAACATGTGTTCTGTTGGGTTGCTGTTTCTATACCATGTGTCATGTGGGTTGCTGGTTTCTGTACCATTGTGGTTTTAAAGATACAGCAGTATAAAAAACAGTTTTACAAGCATATCTTCCTCATCTTCTCTCTTCCAACGTCATGGAGCGTCTGAAAGAGAAGGTAGAGCCGAGCGGCGAGCTTCGCGACGAGCGCTCGAATCTCCTTCGCGTCTCTCATCTCTCTATCGGTCTCTCTTCTCTCAGCTCTCTCCTCTCTCTCATGCCTCCTCTCCATCTCCTCTCTCTCTCTCTCCTCTCTCTCTCTCTCTCTCTCTCACTCACAGGTTGGTGGACTTCACCCGGTTACCCTCCCCCACCCCGGAGAACAAGGAACTCTTCTTTGTCACCAGGAACTCTGGGATCCAGCCCTCCCCGGCCCGCAGCTCCAGCTACTCTGAGTCCAATGAGCCCGACCTGGGCATGGCCAACGGCAGCAAGAGCCTGTCCATGGTGGACCTCCAGGACCCCCGCAGCTTAGAGAGCGGCCCAGGGCCTGGCCCCTCAGACGGCCTGGGAGAGGGCATTGTTCCTGGGGGAGTGTGGTCGGCCCGAACCCCCCATGGGAACATCACTGGAGGTCCTACTCTGAGAAGGCCGGTCCAGACCCCCACCACCCCCGGATCGGAGAGCGCTCCAGGCAGACCTGCTCAGCTCCTGGCCCCCCTGTCCTTCCAGAACCCTGTCTATCAGATGGCAGCAGGGCTGCCCTTGTCGCCGCGAGGCCTGGCCGACTCGGGCTCCGAGGGCCACAGCTCCCACAGTTCCCATAGCAACAATGAGGACGGGCCAGGAGGAGGAGGGGGGATACATAACTCCTTCCTGAACCACGGAATAGGAGGTGGGGGGAGCAGCGCGGAGGAGTATGCCCGTCGTTCTGGGGAGTTTGTTGGCACGCGTAGGCAGCTGTCACTCACAGAGGCCCAGCACCAGCCCACCGTGCCCAGACAGAATAGCGCCGGCCCCCAGCGCAGGATAGACCAGCCCCCTCCGCAGAACAACGTCAGCAGGGGCCGCACACCCCCCAACCTGCTCAACAGCGGGCCTTACCCGCGCCCCTCCAGCAGCAGCATGATGTCATCATCCCCCGACTGGCCCGGCAACGGGGCACGGCTACGGCAACAGTCGTCGTCATCAAAAGGAGACAGCCCAGAGACCAAGCAGAGAGCCCAGCACAAACAGGTAGAGTACTCATACAGTAGTACACACATACACACACTCAACATACACTAGTACAAAGGAGTGTGTATGTATGGGATAGCGAGGTTATTTGCTGACAGTCATGATGGTAGCTTCAGTGAGGGCTGCAGGCCTTTGACTGTCTGGGAGGTTAATCTCATACTGTATCAGCATAAAAACAACAGATTTTGTTTCTCAATTAGTTTTCAGGCTAAATAAAGCTTTAAATAAACAAATAATGCTCTTTCGTGGAAAGCTTCCACTAATACCACTTGATCACATGATCCATTGCATGTTAACAATGCCTGTATATGTGTGTGGGTGGTGTCTGAGCTCTCCTGTTATTCTATCTAATCAATGACAGTCATTGGAGAAGCCAGTGTGTATTAACAGTAATCCCCATGCTCAGTGTATCTGCATAGTTTAGACATGGGAGTCTAACAGCACAGGATCACTGGTAGAGTTATGTATGCGTAGGCCTATTATTTTCTGGTTATGTACTAACACAAGATAGAGAGATTTGCTTAGAAGACAGAGGATTTTCTCAGAGTTTTGTAATTATTAGCATTATGATTATTTGTGAATGTGGCCCTTGGTTGAATCAGGATTAGGATATTAGATACAGCAATGTAATGCAGAGTTACATGCATGTATTCTATCGAGTCTCAAGGCTGGTTAATGGCTTATCATCAGCAGGTCATAGTAATGCACTCAGATCTTGCTGAGGTGTGTACGTGTGTGGCTGTGTGTGTATCGCTGTTGGGAGTTGTTATAGTGTAATGTATCTGCTGGCATCCTCTGGGCTGTTATAGATGACCTCTTAACCAGCAGGTCACTGATAGGCTGGCTGGTCGATGGTTGCCCCCGATGATCTCTGGCCTCAAGGTGACAGGAAGGACATTTACATTCCCAGTTACCACAATGCCCTGCTCTCCTCTAGGGACTGATTGATTGGTCAGCTTAGTGATTGACTGACTAGTGTATCCCAAGGGTTAATGGGGTTAAGACGGACGCCATTCAGAAACAGAATCGCCTTTAATCACCGGCAAGTACATTTTCACATACTCAGAGTTGTACTTGGTGATATGGTGCTGCTAGTGATAGACCACATTTAGAGACAGAATACAGACAGCAGAGTTTAAACTAAGTTTCCATACATTATATACAACTAGGTAGAGTGAGCATAGAGCTATAAGAGAATGAGCAGATATACACATGTACAGTGGGTATATGGTTGATATACAGTGGGTATACGGTTGATATACAGTGGGTATACGGTTGATATACAGTGGGTATACGGTTGATATACAGTGGGTATACGGTTGATATACAGTGGGTATATGGTTGATATACAATGGGTATACGGTTGATATACAGTGGGTATACGGTTGATATTCAATGGGTATACGGTTGATATTCAATGGGTATACGGTTGATATACAGTGGGTATACGGTGGGTATACGGTTGATATACAGTGGGTATACGGTTGATATACAGTGGGTATACGGTTGATATACAGTGGGTATACGGTTGATATTCAATGGGTATACCGTTGATATTCAATGGGTATACGGTTGATATACAGTGGGTATACGGTGGGTATACGGTTGATATACAGTGGGTATACGGTTGATATTCAATGGGTATACGGTTGATATTCAATGGGTATACGGTTGATATACAGTGGGTATACGGTGGGTATACGGTTGATATACAGTGGGTATACGGTTGATATACAGTGGGTATACGGTTGATATACAGTGGATGTACACATTTACAGTATCAGTATGAATATATCTAAATGCAGAAAGATGAACAGAGTGCAATGCGGGATAGTGCAGTTATTTTGTGTACAGTTCAGAGATGGCTTGATGCGGTGTGCAGCATAGAGTGCATAGTCCTTTAGTCTCCATGGGCCAGATGGCCGGTTGGTGAGGGCCACAGCACGGGGGAGGTTTTGGTCATGAGTGACCTGAACCGCCTGCCAGAGGTGATTTTTTGGAGGTGAGGGTGATCGGGTGGGAGGGGTCGGCGATGATCTTTCCTGCACGCTTCCTTGCCCTGAAGTCATGCAGGACCTCGATGGAGGGCAGGTGGCGGCCGATGACCCTCTCTGTAAACCGGACAATGCGTTGCAGTTTGCCCTTGCAGCGGGCAGACGCAGACCCAAACCAGACGGTGACGGATGGACTCAACGATTGATGCGTAAAACCGGATCAGGATTGACTGGGACATTTTGAGTTTTTTCACCTGCCGCAAGTAGTACATCCACTGGTGTGCCTTCTTGGTGACCGCTGTGATGTTCAAATTAAATCAAATCAAATGTTATTGGTCACATGCGCCGAATACAACAGGTGCAGACATTACAGTGAAATGTTTACTTACAGCCCTTAACCAACAGTGCATTTATTTTTAACAAAAAAAGTAAAAATAAAACAACAACAAAAAAAGTGTTGAGAAAAAAAAGAGCAGAAGTAAAATAAAATAACAGTAGGGAGGCTATATATACAGGGGGGTACCGGTGCAGAGTCAATGTGCGGGGGCACCGGCTAGTTGAGGTAGTTGAAGTAATATGTACATGTGGGCAGAGTTAAAGTGACTATGCATAAATCATTAACAGAGTAGCAGCAGCGTAAAAGGATGGGGTGGGGGGGGCAGTGCAAATAGTCCGGGTAGCCATGATTAGCTGTTCAGGAGTCTTATGGCTTGGGGGTAGAAGCTGTTGAGAAGTCTTTTGGACCTAGACTTGGCACTCCGGTACCGCTTGCCGTGCGGTAGCAGAGAGAACAGTCTATGACTAGGGTGGCTGGAGTCTTTGACAATTTTGAGGGCCTTCCTCTGACACCGCCTGGTATAGAGGTCCTGGATGTTGTCCTCCAACTTGAGGTTGTGGGAGATGATGGTCCCCAGGAATTTGAATGATTCAGCCGTACTAACAGTTGAGCCATCAATCTCGAGGGGGAGAGATAGTGGGGGGCGTTTTCTGAAGTCAACCACCATTTCCATGGTTTTGTCTGTGTTGAGTTCCAGGTTATTGCGACTGCACCAGGCCACTAGCTGGTCGACCTCTCCACGGTACATGGACTCATCGCCGTCGGTGATGGGACCGACCAGAGTGGTGTCATCTGCAAACTTGAGTAGTTTGACAGATGCGTTGTTGAAGGTGCAGTCATTGACCTTAGAGGTGAGAACATGCATCCTTGCAGCGGGATAAAGAGTCCAAAAGGTGTTTTCCCAGCTTCACATGTTGCGTCCTGTTGGTCAGGAAGTCAGTGATCCACTGACAGATGGAGCTGGGCATGTTCAGCTGGTAGAGTTTGTCTTGTAGCAGTTCTGGGATGATGGTAATGAATGCAGAGCTAAAGTCTACAAACAATATCCTTGCATATGTCTTTGGGTTAATCAGGTGTTTGAGGATGTAGTGTAGGCCCATGTTGACGGCGTCACCCTCCGTCCTCTCAGGGATTTGTTAAGCATGTTGTTTTTAATGTCGCCTTTCTTCCTCTTTGAATTGCATTAGAGATACATAACAGGTGGATTAGAGAGAGACATTGAGAAGGAAATCAATGCTTGATTGAGTCGCTGTCTGGCTGCACTAACTGGTTTTCAACTCTGTCTGGAGATGCATGTATTTCTAATAGAGCACAATGCTATACTGAGGAGATTGCAACTATAATTGCAATCCGTGTAACACAGCTGTAATCAAACCTGACTAGGTCTGGTTTATGAAATGATCCTGTCTCAATCCTGTATAGAAATTGTGATATTGGACAACGTCAACTAACATCACATTAACATGTTACTAACTGACTGACTAAATTGACTAACATCATATATTCAGTTGAAATCTCTTGGCTGTCTTGGCCTTGGTATTTGTTTGAGAAGTGTCTGCTAAATGACGTAAATGTAAATGTAAAAAAGTATCCAATGACAATGAAATGACAGAGCAACATTTGAGCTAACATATTTTAATTCATTCAATGTAGATATTCAGTCATTTTCAAAGGTTTCAGTTGCAGACTGTTTTGGATCCCACTGGTATTCCTCTACCTTCACAATCCAAAGACTCTGTCTCCCTCTCACCAACTGTCAGTCACCATAACTGACACATCTAATGACACACACACACACACACACTCACACACACACTCACACCAGCGTTTCTGTTAGGAAAATGTGTTTACGGACAACGTGACTGGGAAATCTTTAATTTACCGGCCACCATTTGAGAAATTACCGAACCCATATGCATTGGGTGCACAACCCATTAGGGCTTCCTCCCACGGTGCTCAGAATGACAGAAATCACATTTAGATTATGGTAATGATTCTTAACACAACATGCAACTCATGTAATGAAGCAGCCAATAAAATTTCATTTTCAAACATTTGCCAAAATGTAATTCGTGGGGGGGTCGGGGGGGAACATTCTAATCAGCGCACCTGGGAAAACTTTCCTATCGGAAAGTACATGGAAATACATTTGGCCAAATTATATAATTACTCCTATCTATACATAAATAAATAAAATCATTCAAAATACTTCACCCACAAATTTTACTTAGCGACAGGAGAATTGAGGATCATTAGCTTCTTTAAAAAAATTGCTGGGGATTGTTTCAAATCCCAAGCTCCTAGGCCTATGCCTATTTGGGAAGCCCACAATTTGGTCAGCGAGCTTGGCAATAGGCCTAGCTGATTATTGAGATGTGGCTGTCAGTGCAAGCATCGAAAATATGTGTGAAGATAATGTGTCTTGAGTATAATTTAAAATGTTGAGACAAGAAGAAGGAGAGGGGTGTGTGGCGAAGATTTAGACAAGTCTCTCTCCAGAATGGCTCAGCTGTCTCCTGCCAATTCTTGCCCATTCATTGTTTAATTGTGTGAATTGTTTGCCCTTTTTTTTATCAATTCCCCATTACATAATATCACCAGTAGTACATGTACCATTAATCCCTGTCATTTGGTTACATTAATGTCTGTTAATGCATGTATTAATTACAGTAATTTACTGTTCTCATTCTCAGAGTGGAAAGTTGTTTGCAGAGTTCACAATCTGCTACACTCCTGATAATGTTGAGGGAGCGAGCGCGCCTGAGCATGCATAGATGTACCTGGACTGCTGCGCGGAACTGTCGGAAAGTGTTTTTTAACATCCATTGTGAATGATAATATATTAAAACTATGGTTCCTCACAGAAAGCTATTTGAAAAATCTTTCCAACAATCTCCCCCTCGATAATCACCAATCCTCGGTGTGAAAGAGCAGTTTAAGTTATAGGCCTACTCAGTGGCGATTTTAGCATGTAAATCTTGGTAGGTGGAGAGAATGCCAAGAGTGTGCAAAGCTGTCATCAAGGCAAAGGCTGGCTACTTTGAAGAATCTCAAATATAAAATATAGTTTGATTTGTTTAACACTTTTTTGGTTCCTACATGATTCCATATGTGTTATTTCATAGTTTTGATGTCTTCACTATTATTCTACAATGTAGAAAATAGTTAAAATAAAGAAAAACCCTGGAATGAGTAGGTGTGTCCAAACTTTTGACTGGTACTGTATATATATTTTATTTCTTTGCTAAACAGGTGGGGCTCAAAAGCCTGAATGACGGGGCGCCACCGAGCCTACTGCTGCATTGGCCTATAGGCTATGAGTTCCATGCACTAATTTATTTCGCCGCCAATGGATCACGGTGTATCAATGTGCCCATATGGCAGAGGCTGGTGATCTCGCATAAGTTTACTTTTAACTTTTCAATTTTTATCATTTTAATTCAGATTTTTTTGATTAACCACATGACAATGATTTTGAGAAACTAAAACGTTATTTTTGAAATTAAACTGTTCCACAAAAATGTGCATATGAAATTCATAACTGGTACGCAGAATGGTAGAAATGGTAGGATAAATTGTAAGCTTCCCCAAACATGAAACTCACGCGCCGCCTATGAAATCTTTATAAAATAATTGCCTCCACGTTTCCATGGTCGGATCCTGCCTATAGGCTACTTTGAAGCAAGGTAAGACATGCCTTATAATATGAAATAAAACATTCAGGTTTAAAACAATGAAGTATGTTTTCAAAATGCATACTGCCTCCAGCTCACATTGTAAAGTGGTGGGTGACGTGCTGATAGCCTGTTGCCTGCACTTGAATGGTGAATGGGAGGCGTGCTTCAATTACAAGTTGAGAAATAAAAATAGTAGCTCTTTTTAATCGTGCACCAAAACTGTTTTAAACACATGACTGAATTTAGAATTGTTGCTCAATGAATGGACTGATAAAAGCATGTTTTACTCCAGCAGTAACCAGCTGAGGAGCTGCAGGAGAAATCTCACTCAAAATACGCTCTGTATGCATGTGATGTGTAGGATAAATAAGATACATAATGACTAACGGAAATACACACAGGCCAATTTAATTCCACTAAATTATTAAATTAATCTATAGACTGATAAGCATGACGGTCAAATGTATTTACATCGACTGGTATTTCCATCAATTAATAAAAAGCATTATTTTTCTCCCGGCCAGCAACAGTTTGATTTATCGGCTTTTAATTAGTTTTTTGGGCTAAAAGGCTTTTAAATTGTTTAATCAGCCAAAAGCCAATTGCCTGCTAACAAAAACCCTGTCACACACACGCTCACACACACACACACACACACACACACACACACACACACACACACACACACACACACACACACACACACACACACACACACACACACACACACACACACACACACACACAAACAAGCCACTCTGCTTTAGTGATCACATTATGTGTTCTATACATTCCATGTGCATTTCAAGCTTATTCCTGTGTGCACGTACTCTGAATGTGTGGATGTACAATATATACAAAAGTATGTGGACAACCCTTCAAATTAGTGGATTCGGCTATTTCAGCCACACCCATTACTGATAGGTGTTTAAAATCGAGCACACAGCCGTGCAATCTCAATAGACAAACATTGGCAGTAGAATGGCCTTACTGAAGAGCTCAGTGACTTTCAACATGGCACCGTCATAGGATGCCACCTTTCTAACAAGTCAGTTCATCAAATTTCTGCCCTGCTAGAAAATTGTAAGTGCTGTTACTGTGAAGTGGAAACGTCTAGGAGCAACAAAGGCTCAGCCGCGAATTGTTAGGCCACACAAGCTCACAGAATGGGACCGCTGAGTGCTGAAGCGCGTAAAAATCGTGTGTCCTTGGTTGCAACACTCACTACCGAGTTCCAAACTGCCTCTGGAAGCAACGTCACCACAAGAACTGTTAGTCGGGAGCTTCATGAAATGGGTTTCCATGGCATAGAAGCCGCACACAAGCCTAAGATCACCATGCTCAATGCGAAGTGTCGCCTGGAGTGGTGTAAAGGTCACCGCCATTGGACTCTGAAGCAGTGGAAACGCGTTCTCTGGAGTGATGAATCACGCTTCGCTATCTGGCAGTCTGTCTGACAAATCTGGGTTTGGCGGATGCCAGGAGAACACTACCTGCCCAAATGCATAATGTCAACTGTAAAGTTAGGTGGAGGAGGAATAATGGTCTGGGGCTGTTTTTCATGGTTTGGGCTAGGCCCCTTAGTTCCAGTGAAGGGAAATCTGAATGCTACAGCATACATTCTAGACAATTCTGTGCTTCCAACTTTGTGGCAACAGTTTGGGGAAGGCCTTTCCTGTTTCAGCATGACAATGTCCCTGTGCACAAAGCGAGGTCCATACAGAAATGGTTTGTCGAGATCAGTGTGAAAGAACTTGACTGGCCTGCACAGAGCCCTGACCTTAACCCCACCGAACACCTTTGGGATGAATTGGAACGCCGACTGCGAGCCAGGCCTAATTGCCCAACATCAGTGCCCGACCTCAGTAATGCTCTTGTGACTTAATGGAAGCAAGTCCCCGCAGCAATGTTCCAACATCTAGTGGAAAGTCTTCCCAGAAGAGTGGAGGCTGTTATAGCAGCAAAGGGGGGGGGGGGGGGGCAACTCCATGATTTTGGAATGAGATCTTCGACAAGCAGGTGTCCACATACTTTTGGTCTTGTAGTGTAGGTACTATGTACCGTATGATGGTGTGTGTGTACCGTATGATGTGTGTGTGTGTACCGTATGACGTGTGTGTGTCCCACTCAGCTCAGCTCATGTGTGTGTTGTGTTGGTTCCACTAGGCCCCCTCCCCAGTGAACCCCAATGCACTGGACCGTACGGCTGCCTGGCTGTTGAATATGAATGTGCAGTATGTAGACCATGAGGGGATGGAGTCCAGAAACAGAGAAGATCTCACTCAGGCCGAGAAGGTAACATCCCAAACCAACCTTAACCCCCTCTCAACCTCCCTGTAACCTCCCTAACTACCCCCCAGTACCCCCGTTCTCAGCACCCACCCTCTAGACACCATCTCTACTCCCCTCAACTCCCAATGTCAAGCCCTCACTCCTACCCTTAACCCTATCCCCTTACAACGTACAATCACTCACAATAAACCTGCATCTCTAATAACAGATACTCTGTTTGTATGGTCAAAGGATTTCAACCATAAGGTATTCCTAGACTCTTACAGTAAATTGTGAATGTGTGTGTGTGTATATGTCTGTGTGTGTGTGCGGAGGGAATGCTTCCTGCTTCTGCTGCTTCTCCTTCACCTGCTTCTCATCCCAATGGCTGTCAGCTCTCCATGCTTTGATTGGCTGTCACACACACACCTCCACTGCTGATTGGCTGTCACACACACACCTCCGCTACACATCATACAAACATGATTTTATGAAGCAGAAAATAGGGGATTGACAGTGAGCAGCACTTCTTTCCATAGCTTTATTCATATTTCACGTTTGGTCCATTGTTCTTGTGAAGGACAACGTTGAGTCAACTTTTTATCATATTCTCTGGTGAGGTGTGTTCCGTTTTTACCTGGCCGACCCCGCTACCCTTGAATGCTGCTGAAGGATCCAGGATGTGTGTTTTATTAGCCAGGTGGGATTTGATTACATTCCTCATTTCTCAGCCAGCACAAATCCTCTCCTCTTCAGGGCCGCTAACAGGTCCGGAGGGAGGTCAAGGGGAGCTTTTCCCGGCTTATTCCTGAGTCTAGGGCTTGAGCTGCGCAGGTTGAATCCCTCTCCTACCTCTCCTCCTTCTCTGTTCTGGAACAGTACTCAGCTTAAGTCCCCAGTTTTAGAGGTTAGGGAACAAATTCGAGTGCTGGTGGGATTTGGGACATGGAAGGAAAATAAACTCATCTCTCTCAGGAATACTGGTGGCTTAGAAAAGTTGGAAGTTTTACTGTGAGTGTTGGCTAATGTCTATTTAATGTCTTCAACTCACTTATAATCCTGCCCTGTCCGAGTTTCAGTTTCCCTTCAATATTTGACTGTTTAAAACTTGAAATGGAACCAGGTGGACAAAAAATAATAAATCGGATAAGAAGCAAAAATGGTGAGGCAATTATGGAAATTAGGTGATACACCTGTCAAGGTCTACCGGAGGACCACTGTGATGAGGAGGACATGACAACGATTATTGTGATGATAACGATGCCGGTTATTGCTCTCTTCACTGACCACCTCTACCTAGAAACAACAATTGAATGGGCCAGTATGGGTTGGCGCCATTGACATATAAGTATCGGTTTGGCATTGCTGATGATGATGATTATGATGATAATAAAAACTCTAACTCTCTCTCTCTCTCTCTCTCTCTCTCTCTCTCTCTCTCTCTCTCTCCTTTCTCTAGTACCAGCAGGAGGTGGCTGTATTGTTGTTGAAGATGATTCTGACTCTTCCTTTAACCCTGTCTGTCCCCCCCAGTACCAGCAGGAGATTGTGGTCCTCCAGGAGAAGCTGCGTGTGTCGGTCCAGAAGCTGGAGGAGTACGAGGCTCGTCTGAAGGGTCAGGACGACGGCGCTCAGAAGGTTCTGATGGAGTACCAGGCACGGCTGGAGGAGTCTGAGGAACGCCTGAGGCGACAGCAGGATGACAAGGACCTCCAGATGAAGAGCATCATCAGCAGGTACGTCTGGGGGGATCAGACCCTTTCCAGACAGAGACTGGTGAAAGTAAGAGAAAGAGAGAGTGAGAGATGGAGAAAGTGAGATGGAGACGGAGAGAGAAACAGACTGAGAGAGAAAGATTTGGTAAGAGAGAGTTTGGTAAGAGAGACCAAGCATACGCAGAGGGAAAGAGGGGGAGAGGGAGTGTAGGGCTGAAGAGGGGGAATAGAGAGGGGAAGGAAAAATAGAGAAAGGGGAAAGAAGAGGGGAAGGGGAAAAAAGATAAAAAGAGGGGGAAAAGGGGGCAAAAGGAAAAAATTGCTCCTTTTCTCTTTTCTCAATTTTCTCCCCTTTTTTCCGCTCGCTCTTTTTCCCGGGCCTTCTTTCTCTCCATTCGCGCTTTTTTCTCTCTTTTATCTCTCCTCTCTTCTTTCCCCTCTCTCTCTTTTTTCGTTTTTTTCCCCTCTATTCTCTCTCTCTTCCCCCTTTTCTCCTTTTTCCTCTCTCTTCTTCTTCCCCCCTCTCCTTTTGTCTCGCTTTCCTCTTCTCTTTTCCCTTCCTTCCCCTCTTTTTTTCCTCTCTCTTGTTTCCCCTCCCCTTTTCCTCTCTTTCCTCTCTTTTTTTCCCCTTCCTCACCGGGGGCCAAACCTTTCCCCCTCTCTCCCCTTTCCTTTCTCCCCTTCTCTCTTCCTCTTTCTCTCCCCTTTTCTTCTCTCTCTTCTCTCTCTCCTCTCTCTCTTTCCTTTCCCTCGTCCTCCTCGACCCTTTTTTCCCTCTATTTTGGGGTCGCTTTTGGCCCTTCTCTCTCTCCCCCTCTCCCGCTCTCCTCTCCTGTCCCTCCCCCTTCTTCTTCTCTCTCTCTCTCTTTTCCTTTTCTTTTCCTCCCTCTTTTTCCCTCTCTCTCCCCCCATTCTCTCTCTCTCTTCTCCTCCCCTCTCTCCCCCTCTCTTTTCCTCTCTTCCCCTCTTCCTCCTCTCCCCTTTTTTTCTCCTTTTATTGTTCCTCTCTCTCTTTTTTTCTTCTTCGTTCTTTTCTCTCGGGAAAAATCTAGAGGATTTTTTTGTTTTCTCTTCTTTTTTTTCCTTTCTTTTTCTCCTTTCTTTTTTTCCCGGCCACACCCTTCCCTTTCCCTTCCCCCCCCTTTTCCCCCCTTTCCCCCTTTCTAACCCCAATTAGAGCCTACATACACACACACAAGCACACACACACAAAACTCAGTACATACACATTTCACAAACTCAATTAAAGTGAATGTACTGTTATCCATATTTCTAAAATGCCTTGCAGACCAGAGTGCCGAGATGCACACACCTCTCACAAACTCAATTAGAAGTTGTACACCCCTACACACACCTCCTAAATGCATAGCAGACCAGCAGTCCCAAGAGACCAACCTCTTGTACACTCAGTTACAGTCTGTAGTCTGCCATACAGCTGTAAAGTACTGCCAAACGTGTGTGAGCTAGAGTAACAGACAGTACACACATCACACAAATGATTCTGTTCTGTATCCACATACTCTACCTTAGTCCTTACACTGGGTGTCTGTTGTGATTTGTGTTGCTAATGTCCCATTAACAGGTGTTGTGTGTGTGTGTGTGTGTGGTGTGTGTGTGTGTGCTTGTGTTGTGGTGTGTGTTTGTGTGTGTGTCTTGATGTGTGTGTGTTTGTGTGTGTGTGTGTGTGTGTGTGTGTGTGTGTGTGTGTGTGTGTGTGTGTGTGTGTGTGTGTGTGTGTGTGTGTGGTGTGTGTGGGTGGTGTGTGTGTCCAGGTTAATGTCGGTGGAAGAGGAGCTGAAGAAAGATCACAGTGACATGCAGGCTGTGGTCGACTCCAAACAGAAGATCATTGATGCACAGGTGAGAGTCAGTCACATACACAACTCCAGTCAGTTGGTTGACTGTTTAAAGCCCCATAGAGAGAGAGCAGGGCAGTCCCTAGTGTCATGAAACTGTACTGCAGGTCATTATAAGACTCTTAGAATGAGTTGAGCACACACACATTTCCTGTCACACACACTTCCTGTTTGCAATGTTTAAACCTCATAGAGAGACGCTTGGAGAATACCCAGAAGCCCATGTAGCGCCTAGTCAACTGTGCCCAATATATTGGGATGTATTGTTATGTGTGTATATCCGTCCCTTTCGTACTCGGTGTGTGTGTGTGCGTGCATGCATGTGCGTGTGTGTGTGTCGTCTGCTACAGGACGGGAAGGCTGACAGAACATGGAAATACATAGAGATGTTTAATTCAAGCTGTCAGATCTCTGTGGCAGTGACTAGGCTCGGATGGCTGAGCGCAGCACGACTCTACGCTTTAGTCTTACAGACTAACTAATATCTACATTTACATTATTCTTCCAGCCTGTCTGTCGACAAGCGTGTTGCGCCACAGTGACTCATTTTACACTGTACATTCTATCTACTCCTGACAGTGGAGTGGCAGCTCTGTGTTGTAGCATTGTAGCATTTTCTGATCCAGACATGTTGCATAAACTTATGAGTTATGTGAGTTAAACAAAGTTGAAGAGATCTAGTGTTAAAAGACACCTCAATGTCAGCTCACAGACAGCGATGCACACACACACACAGCTCATCCGCACGGTAAAGTAATGGGAGTTGAGTGTGGAAACAAACTGGCGGTGTTAAGGTAATGAGCCGCTCCCTGAGTCAACAGACAGAGAGAATAAATATGGAACGCTCATTAAGGAGCGAGGGAGAGAAATAAGGGAGAGAAGTGAATAGTGAATTAGAGAGCACCTCGGGTGGATGAATGCGACAGGACTTTAGATGATACAGTAAACAGCACAGACACTAACAGGAGCAGGAGACTACAATAAAATGTTTCCATGAATGTGTCTGGTTGTCTGGCTGTCTGGTTGTCTGTGTACTTCACCGCCTATCTTTGCACAGGCCTATATTTGGTATCTCTCTCGTTGCTGTTTGCTGCTCTCACTCTACCCCCTTCTTCCGTCTCTACCTCTCTAACCCAGTGTTTCTCTCTCTCTTTCTCTCCCTCTCTGCAGGAGAAGCGTATAGCGTCTCTGGACGCGGCCAACGCCCGTCTGATGAGTGCCCTGACCCAGCTGAAGGAGCGCTACAGCATCCAGACCCGTAATGGCATCTCCCCTACCAACCCCACCAAGCTCCAGATCACTGAGAACGGAGAGTTCAGGAACAGCAGCAACTGCTAGAGTCAGAGAGAGAGAGAGGGTGTGTGTGTGTGTGTGTGTGTGTGTGTGTGTGTGTGTGTGTGTGTGTGTGTGTGTGTGTGAGAGAGAGAGAGAGAGAGGGTGTGTGTGTGTGTGTGTGTGTGTGTGTGTGTGTGTGTGTGTGTGTGTGTGTGTGTGTGTGTGTGTGTGTGTGTGTGTGTGTGTGTGTGTGCGTGTGTGTGTGTTGGCTGGTGCATGTAGAGGACACTTCCTTATATGGACACTATATGGTGAGGAGAATGTGAGTGAGGAGACCACTGCCAGGGGCCATGCAAGGAGGTGGGACTTCAGTTTGACAGACAGCTGACCAGGAAAGAGACAGCGAATCAATGGACAGAGCTGAACACCAGATGGGCCCTGCAGAGAAGGAGGCGGGACAAGCTGTAGATATGAACTGAACTCTCCATCAATCAATCGACTTGGATGTTTCCATTGGATGTATGCAGTTGCTGGGACAATTTCAGGCTCTCTTCCCTAAAGCTTGGGTCAAGCCACTATATAATCAACACATTGTCTGTCTGTCAGATAGTCACCCAAAACCTCTTTACTCTCCTCTCCTCTTCTTCTCTGTTTTCTTCTCCTTTCCTGACCTCCTTTCCTTTCCTATCCTCTCTCCTCCACTCTTCTCTGTTACGAGCAGGTTACGTGGACCTTGTACAAAACAAAACAATAACAACAAAAACAATGATTTATTTAGATTTTATCTCATTCTATTAAAACCAAATAGGAGCTTTGAAATATTTTTAGTCCAAACTTATCTTTATTTTTAAGTCCTTGAGTATGTTCCAAAGTGCCCCACTATCCCCTACCCCCATGGTCCCTACATAGTGCACTTTGTGAATGTTATTGGTACATGAAACGCCTTAAGTAAGGAACACACCTCTACTTTGTCCTTTAGCTCCCCTCTTCCTGCCAAAAAAGGCACAACTTATAATACTGTGGATTTGTAAAGGAATAAATATATTGTATAAATACATCACGTAATGTATTATAAACCCTAAATAATGAACTATATGTGAGACTATATTAATGATATTTAATATAGATGTATGCATATTTATTTTTTCCTCTATAAAGTATACATGAGATATAGTTATATTTGATCATGTCAAATATGAAAGCAGCCCGTTCCAAGGAGTGTCTGGTTGTGTGTTTGAGTTGTGTTCTTCCTGTTTGAAAGACTGCAGCTGTACTGTGTATTATAGGGTTTAGGAGGAGAGACTGCACACTATGCAGAGAGTAGCACCATCAACAGATGAAATAGTTAGAATCCTATTTTATTTATTCTTAACCTTTAGTTTATCCAGGTTTTCTAGACAGACCTGGTTGGGTTGAGGTTTGTTTTAGTGCTTCATCTATAATGTTGAATCAATGTTGAAACAGTGTTGTATGTTGGTTGTGTGTCCCTCTGCGTTTTGAGCTATAGGAGGACGGGCTCATTGTAATGGCTGGAATGGAATTAATGGGGTCAAACGTGGTATCAAAAATCCATTCCAGCCATTACAATGAGCCTGTCCTCCTATAGCTCCTCCCACCAGCCATGGTTGGTCTCATAGCCCTGTAGTACAAGGAGAGAGAGAGTTGTATTGTTTAACACAACATTATACTATACACTGGACTGGTGTCGGTCACGTGACCTCACAGATTAGAATATTACTCTTTCTTAAAACTCTTAAGTAAGAATGTTACTCTTAAAACTCTTGTTTGCTAATTATGTCAATGAAGCATGCTGCATCGAGACTGTGACCCCCACTTCGCTTTGAAGCATCTCTCTCTCCTCTATTTCTCTCCCCTTCTCCTTAATTCCCTCTCTCTCTCTCTCTCTCTCTCTCTCTCTCTCTCTCTCTCTCTCTCTCTCTCTCTCTCTCTCTCTTTCTCTCTCTTTCTCTCTCTCTCTGAATGTGAAGATGCTACTCAAACATGGTTGGTCTTAATATTGGGTCTATAAGTCCTTCTGAATGATCCTATAGCTACTGTCCGGCTCTCCCCCACCACCCCCCAGACATTTCAGCATCTATATTTGGTATATTTTTCTATTCCTTTTTCTTACCTTTACAGATTAATTATTAAGAGTGATAAAATCTGCATGCTTCATTTTGGCGCTATAGCCAATGGTGGCGCCAGACTGTGTCAGCTTTTGTTTTCAGTTGCCAATATAGGAAGATGATGAACCTCTGTTTTTATGAGTTGCTACAGACATAAAAATAAATAATATGTGATAAATATGTGAGATATCAAGAGGCTGGACAGACTTGGAGATGAGTGTAGATAAAATGTTCACAATATTTTTACCTAATGTTACAAATAGTTTTTTTTATGTACCTTGTGTTCAAAAATACTGCTCTGTCGATCGATATGACAATATGTAAATTGTAAATAGCTCAATCAGTCATCTGTCCTGTTCAGTTAGATCTCCAGGTTTTAGCCCAAGTCTCCCCTCTCCACCCCCACATTCAGTATTTTCTTTTTCTATCAAGGGAAAAACACTTCATAATTATCAGTTGCAAAACAAATTTAAATGACAGTTTACTGTTGAGAGGTGTTGGATGATTTCAGATGTGTAGAGGACAGGGAGAATCCAAACGTCCAGCGTTCTATGACCAATCAAGTGTGGAGAAAGAGAAACATTTCTCATCAGCCCAGCTCTATGCACTTTTAAAATGAGGTTTTAAGCATTGTTAGTCTACGTTCCATAAAAACACCCCAGTCTTTTTGGACTGCAGAAGTGTGCACTCAGGGCTTGATTAGCCATGTCGTGGAGTGCACTACTGAACCACTAGATTTCAGATGATTGGCTCAAGTTACTTCAACAATTATGTATTTTATTTCTAGAGTTTGGAGGGGAAAAGAGAGTACTGACTGTGATATTAGGGACTTAAGTTAAGATTCCTGTCTTTAGAGTTGTTCTCTCTAGTCCCCTGAGTAGCCTCCACCTCTCACCCTTAGCCCTCTACAGTGGAAGCCTACCTTACAAATTTCCTAATCAGCTAGATTAATACTGGTATATACCTTATAATGATCTATTAGTGTTACCAGGGCAACACAGCATGATGCCACTTCCATAGAAATAGAGAATGCAATGTCCTTTCGTTTGGCTATCAATTCTAAATCCTGGGTATGTTTCTGGTCACATCCCACTTTGGTTCCACCTTCATTAAATTGTTAGAGAATATAGGAGAGTAGGAGAGTCAGAGAGAGAAACGTGATGCCACACACACTCACTTATACATACAGCACAGTTAGAGCCAGTGAGAAAAATACTATAAACTAAATATACATCTATAAATAAAGTAAAAGATGTTGTATGTTTTCTAATATCTTAGAAAATACTTTTGTAAGTATGTTGAAAGTGAAGTATTTGCTGGATTCTGCTTCCTTGGACAACAGTGACGAAAACAATAATGTACAGAGGAATTTGTTTGTGTTGATGAAATATTAAAAACAATGTGGCTGTGCAATTTATGTACATTTGCAACTAGACTTATTAAAGTTTTATTTAGCTATTTTAAGTCTCTGCCTTGTGTGTTTTTTGCCACTGTGGTAAATATATTTTCCAATACATTTATTTGACAAAAAGGACTTCTCAAGTGTATATGTATAAGCATTTTTCATGTGACACATCAGACACAAAACCTCAACATATTTCCAGCCACAACCTATAATACAACCATGACACACCAGTGGATTCAGACCTATCATTTGGTAAACATTGTTTTAGATGATTGCCAGGTGGTAAATCAGATACAACTTGGCTTATAATGAGAAAATGAACATATTTTCAAAGCTGCTCAGTCCAGTAACAGGGTGATGAGGAGAGCTATTTAGAGCGGAATGTGGAGGGAGAGAGGTAAAAGAGGGAGAGCGATAGAGGAGAGGAAGATGGAGAGAGATGTAAAAGAGGGGTAGTGAGCGACGCATGCTCCTCAGCTAGGCTGACCTACATACTGCCTGATTGTTATTCCCCACAGTAGCCGGGAGAGAAGAAGGAGAACGATGGAGAGAAGAGGAAAAGAGGGAGAATGCTCCAAAACTCTATCCTACCTTACCCGTGGTAGATGTTATTTTTGCCATGTATGTAGGCCTATACATGGTATTCTAACAGTTATTCAGTGTAGGCCTATACCTGGTATTCTAACAGTTATTCAGTGTAGGCCTATACATGGTATTCTAACAGTTATTCAGTGTAGGCCTATACATGGTATTCTAACAGTTATTCAGTGTAGGCCTATACATGGTATTCTAACAGTTATTCAGTGTAGGCCTATACATGGTATTCTAACAGTTATTCAGTGTAGGCCTATACATGGTATTCTAACAGTTATTCAGTTTAGGCCTATACATGGTATTCTAACAGTTATTCAGTGTAGGCCTATACATGGTATTCTAACAGTTATTCAGTGTAGGCCTACACTTCAGAAGCAGAGGCTTAACACCAGTGTAGAATCTTTGCCCTGTGGGCCACATATTAGACTGTGTAGAACATTTATATTACATTATGTAAGATCTAACAAACCTAAGATCAAGGATTAGACACAGGGAGCCCAGAACAATGGAAAGCAGAGCATCACCGCCATCCTATAACACAATAATATAACACCTTGGCTGTCCACATACACTTCAGAGGCTGTTTGTGTTGGACTGATTGAACTAATGAATGTATTTCCATTGACTCAGGCCCAGCAGCAGGTAGCAGGGAGCAGGCAGGGAGGGAGCAGTCAGTGGGTAGGGAACGGACCTCATTAATAGTGCCTCCTCATTGTGTTTATTTCACAGAGATGTCTCTAATTGCTCCCTGCGAGGCTCACTTAGCGCCTGCCTGCCTACCTCCCTCCCTGCCTGGGCTGACTGCCTCCCGCTCTCCCTCCCTGCCTGCCTCTCTCCCTCCCTGCCTGGTCTGACTGCCTCCCGCTCTCCCTGCCTGCCTCTCTCCCTCCCTGCCTGGGCTGACTGCCTCCCGCTCTCATCCCTGCCTGCCTACCTCC